CTTTAATGAGTCATGTATCGACACACGTATCACTTGTATGTAAACTACTGTAACGCAGAAAAGGAAAGAAAAAATGTTACATCGTATCAGTATGTGAAGAAAAGGAGAAAAAAAAATTCATTGTTTTTCAAAAGCTCAATACAATAAAAATGAAGTTAAAATTAGATGTATGCGGACACACATCAACAATTGGGAGAGAAAGATTGTTAACGATAATATTATATCATCACAGCTCATGATTTACTTTCTCTCTTTCTCTTTTTACTTGTTATTATCGTCCATTTTCTTTCGTCTCTTTGTGCTCTCCAAGTTATATATATATATATGTTGTACAACTGCGCATGAACAAACTCTATTCTAGTGAAATAAAAATAAAACTCATCCGTCTGCAACTAACACCTCTATATACACAACTTTAAAAGTTTATTTTCGTGTGCTGAAGGTAAGAACCGTTTAAGATTTTGCAAATCACCGTCTTTCAAAGTGCAGTAGTCAGAAAGTCTCTCTCTTCTGATATATAAAAGTCATTAATTCACCTACCGTCACGACATGTATTCATTGCATTCATTGCAATGAAAACCGTATAAAATAATGCACCACTAGTGATATACTCAGTTTCATTGTTTCTCATCAATAGGATATTTTATAGTGACGGTATGCAATCTTTTTCTTTAGTTCCACCACATTTCATGTATATGAAGTCATTGTTACCATGATACAAGATGCACTGCGTATGGCAATCGAATTCATCATTGATCCCACAATAGCTATAGAGAAAACATTAAGTAGATATATGCGAATCTAGATCATCGCCTATAAAAAACAAAAATGAAGGATAAGGCATCTTTGAAGAAAATGCAACAGAACTTTCTTCGAAATGATGGATGTATGCCTTCAAGTTTTCGAAAGGTCTGCATAATCAACACAGAGTACTATCCGCTAGTAGATTTCAGATTAATTCACACTAACATTCGTCATCCCATTTTGAACTGTCGTAGCATGTTGTAATATATTCACTAATGTTTGATGTTTTTTTGTTATTTCTGTCTCCGATTTGCTTGCTTCTGTCGCAAATGCTATCTGAGTAGTTCTTAATTTCAATCTGATAGTGTTTCCAATATGTTATGTAAACATTGCAGTCGATAACGTCCCCCCCATTGTTTTCTGTTCCACTGTTCTATCACTTTCTGTTATCCTCATTATCAATCTCGTATAAAGTATTGAGATCGGCGTTTGAGAAGTCACGGTGAGAAGCGCTGTGCTTGTTGCTGTTGAGGGTGTACTAATAATTATTAAGCGACAATTAAAATACGTTTAAAGCTATTTAGAAAAATATTTCGGTCATATAACTTTAACGGTATACTCAAATAGCAATTGATGCCTCAGACATTGTATGCATAAAAGAGGAGGGCAGTGATTGAAATACAGGGATTCATCAGACAATAACATTTATTCTTACAATACATATTGAGATGATAATGCATAGAAAGGTGCGAGTCGAAGAACACGGCAAAGGTGGTGAGGTTCAGGCCGATGGTGCGAATATTCGACGCACTTTTCTTCTTAACACTTGTACGTTCCATGTCTCTTCTAATCAAATAAATTCATCATTCTTCACCTAAATTGTATTCTTTTCTGCTTGTATTATAAGAAGCTAATTTTAATAATAATCAGAGCCCTGTAGTTCCTAAAATTACCCGAAATCGACGGTTTCACCGTAACATGGAAAATACTGAGTAATTGAGTTTTTTTAGAAATTTCTCTCAATGATCATGATCATAAAGAATAATATCATCTTCGTTACTCATTCTAAACGTCTTTTTTGTTTTCATAGTTGTAGATTATTATTTAGTTTGGACAGGAGATTGTAGAAGATGACTGTTCAACGATCTTTCTTTTCATTTCAGTTGTATCAACTTCATCAATTTTTCTCGTCACATGATTGTAATAATGGTAAATTTTTTTGAAAAAATAACAATAGGAGTATTTTTTTCTGCACCAAGATCGATGCGCTTATCGATACTTGTGTTTTTTGCAGACGAGAACAGTCCTTCTACAATGGTGTTCGATGTTTGTACAGCATAGAAATCTTCAGCTATAGAAAATATGATCGGTAATTTTAAATTCTGTTGTTGTGAAATTATAAAACATCATCATGTCCACTGAATAGGACATTTGATGGCATATATCCATCTAATTCATACGGTGTTGCTAACAATGTTAAGAAATTTTGTGATATATCAAAACAGTATAAAAGAGGACCTTTTGATGTTGTTAATTGAGAATCAAGTGAATTTGTATGAACAGGTGATGGAGTAGTGGTTGTACATATAGTAGATAGTATTGTTGGTTGCCGTTTAATAATTTCCATCTTAACTGACTTAACAACTTTTTCTTGAAAACCAGGATTACTACTAATGTACATCTTGCAACATCTACACATCTTGAAACTCTCACCCTCAAGAAAAATTCTGGTTCCTAACGGTTCCGATTCCGGACAAGAGAAACAGAAAAATCCGGTTCTCTTTTTTTTGGAACCGCAGGGCTCTAATGATAGTGAATGTGATTGAATTTCAATCGTAAATACTAACAGATCATTTATCATCAAGATAAGACATAATTCACTGACAGCACTATGCAGATTAACAATAGTGTTTTCTATCACTGCAACCACTACTAAATGCATCATATCTAGCTGCCTATCACAAATGACCAAAGTCGGTCATTATAAAAGCAAGAAAAAGTAAAACATTAATTTTTTTGAAAACGCCGATGACTGTGAAGGTTGTTAATTCTTTGTAAATAGCTGATGTTTAGTTTATCTATTTTTCTTAGATATGCTATGCATTCGTTTATTTCCTGTCTAAGATGTAATATCGTGTGAAAACAGAGTGTCGCGAAAAAGCCTTATCGATTATGTTTTCTTTCATTGATGCTGTAATGCTAATTTTTTTCTTTCATCTTTTTCTTTTATGTATGGACATATAGACGTAATCTAGCTATAAAATACAAAAATGAATTGTTTACGCACTAGATTCAACTCTTTGTATGTGGTGGTTTTTTTTCGTTTTAATGAACTTGACACTACACAGAATATGTAGGAGCTCATTGAATGATTAATTGATTTATTTTTCTGATTCAAAATAGAGTTATGTTTTTTTTTTGCATCTGAATGAAATAATATTGTGAAAGGTAGTACACTGCGAAAGTGTACGTGATCGAATGCATTTCTACGATTAAGACTGTGAAGCTTATTTTTTGTTTTCTTTTTTCTTGCTGTATTGCAAGAAAATATCACTATTAATTAATTGATAATTACGAAAATGAAAATTGTTTCTCGTTTGTGTCAAAATAGGTTTTTTGTATGAAATGCCAACATGTGCATTTTAAAGGGTGCAAAGATAAATCTTCTGAGTATTTTATGTATGATGCATTACATTTTTTAATGCCCTTGAGCAAATTTTCTGCATGATATATATAAAACGTTACAGGAACATCGTGTCTGAGTCAAAATAGTATCAAAGGTATGCCAATTGCAGATCTCGTTAGTATATATTAGTTTTATTATTATTTTTTTGATTAATTAAGCGCAATACTGAACTGACTTTTTTATGTTTTTTTCAGACACTCAGAAGTACTTCTAAATTAAGTGAGGATGTACTAATAATCATATCACTTTCTTTCGGATATCGTCATTTTCTCTTTTCGCTTATTCTTTTCTCGGTTCATAAAGTAGTTTGATAAATATAATAAACGAGAGCGGCGATACAGTTAATTATCCAGTTGTTAAAATAAAATAACAAATCTTTATAAGACAGCAGTGCAATATATTAACCCATACTAGTGAAAACAGGCTCGATTCTGTCATAGATATGGACGATTTGAAGGGAAGTATAACAAAAGATATAAAAACTATAGAAGAAAAAGCACGATCTAATATTTGAAAGAAGTTAAGAAGATACTAAGTTTTATTTTGCAATCAAAAATAAAAGTTTTGAGCAATATTTAGAATTACTTCTTATAGAAATAATAATTCGACAATGATATTTATCGTTTAGAAGAAATAGTTGACTAAGGCTGATAGAAAGGCGAATGATATGAACTAATTTTACACAACTGCTTTTTAGCGAACATTATATTTTAGACAATATATGATTAGAGATCCATATTGTTTTAATCACATATCGCTATTTATTTATCGTATGAGCATTTGAATTTTAGTAATGACGAGGATAGGCAACATAAAGGACGTGGAACTCGAACTAAGATCCAGTTGAGTGTTCACTCTCAAATCCTAAAAACTGAACAAAAATTCTCCGTTTCTGAAAAAATTACTCTCGTTTCCTAGAATATCTTCCAGTGACATTTTAATTGTCTCTTAATTGAAACTTCATCCACCACGTTACAAACGCATATCATATAAGTTTTCTGTTTTTCTATTGATATCTTCGTAGAATGTCTCCAATCATGCACAAAACTACTTCCGATTAGTAGCATTGTTAACAAAATCGTATTATACATTCGTAGACATCTATATCTGTAACTGAACAGTGTAATCAATGCCAGTATCAACAAGGGATTATCAACGTGAAAGACGCAATTCTCGTCTCGCTGCTGAAGCACTAGCCGCCATTACTGAAGGCTTAGATCTTTTTACTATTGACAATACTAGTGTAAGTCACACGTCACTCAGTGATGTACACAGTTCTCGTCAATCGTCGAATGAAACACTGACAAAGAATTTAATTAGCATTATCGAAGAGCAAACAACACATGAAAAGATTTCAAGACCAAAAAAATCTCTCTTTGGGCAATATCGCTGGAAAATGAGTCACTATTTCTATATTCATCTAATGACTTATATTTTCAATGGATTTTTCGGTGGTCTCATCATTTTTCTAATTGAAAATTATTCATCATCTCGAAACAAATACATGGTCGTAACGTATCTTGATGCTTGGTTTACGACTGTCTCAACCATATGTAGCTGCGGTTTGACTACCATAGATTTTGCTCAACTTTCTCGTGCATCACAGCTTGTTATGATGGGTTTTGCATTCATATCAGGTTTTGCAATGAGTACATTGCCAGCACTTATAATTAAAGCTCAAACTCACAAAACTACTCAAGGTACCAACGTTGATGATGATAATGAAAAATATGATCCAGAAAATGATGATGAATTAGAAATGTCAAATCTTCGATGGGATCAAAATTTGCCGTCACATATTCGTGCCGAATTAGCACGGTTACCAACACCTGTAAAACTACGTTATCGTGCATATATCATGTGTATCGTTCTTATACTGAGTCTTTACTTTACTATTTATACTACTGGTTTCATTGCTATTGGTACATGGCTTCAGACACATAATAGTCCAGAATATTTAATGCAAAACAATGTTACTCTCAATCCATGGTATATATCAGGTATGCTGACTCTTTTCAGTTTCAATCAAAATGGCTTAACACCTTTCTCAACAAGCCTTTCACGCTATGCTGATGATGTTTTTCTCAATATTGTTCTGGTTTTAGTAATGTCTAGTTTGTATGTATTGTTATATTTTCATTACCATCTACCTTTTTTTTTAGTTGGTGATGAGTGGCTCGTCTTTCTTTCCAATCATTCTACGTAATGTTGTTTTTCTCTCACGTCAACTTGCTCCTTGGCGTCATAAGGTTATTTTCGATTATATTCTTTTGAACAATCACCATCTATCTACTCTTCTATATCCTACTCTACAAACTCGCATCTACTTTTTTGTCACCATTATACTATATTCAATGGGTGTGGGTATTTCACTCATACTTGATTTAGGCAGCAAAGACTTACAACAATATAGTCCTGGTATACGTTTTATCATTTTTCTTTTTCAAACAGTAAATTTACGATTTTGTGGTTTTCAATCGTTCGATATTAGTTTATTTGCAACAGCAACACTTCTCGTCTATTTATTATTGATGGCGACTAAACCACAAATGTTATGTGCACTTGATGAATCACCATTTGAAATATATTGGTTAACTCTAGAAGCGCAAGCACAAGTTGATGCTGAAACAAACAATAACCAAACAAACATGTCGAAGTCACTCCCGCTAATGTTACAACGTGCAATGTCGATCACATCAGCAACAGGTGCTGACGTTCCGCTCTTCAAACAAATGAAAGGTTTTTTACGTCGGCAAAGTCTTGCCACTAAAGAACTTGCAAGAAAAGAATTCTCAAGAAACAATGATGATGAGAAAATCAGTCCGAAATACTCAAAACGTATTAAAGCTTTACGATTACGTTTATTTCTTATTCATTTTATTCGAGCACTTTTTAAACATGCATTTGACTTTTTCGTATTAACACGAACTTGGTTGTTCGTTTTCATTTTTCTTATATGTACTATTGAATATCGTCGAATGACACCAGTCGATCCAGATATTACACTTTTAAAGATTATCTTTGAGATCATTTCTGCTTTTGGTGGAGTTGGTATGTCTCTTGGCTATCCAAATAAGACAACAAGCTTTGCTTCTATTCTTTCTGCTGGAAGTAAAGTCATACTTATTGCAACTATGCTTATGGGTCGACATCGTGGTTTATTAGCATCGATGAAAGATCAAGAAGTAATTGAATATAGTGCTATGTATATATTGGTTCGTCGACGT